CCCCTTTACGGAGGCATATGAGAGCATGGGTCTCACCATGAACATCCACAAGATGAAGACCCTCTGCCAACCTGGCCCCACATTGTGGATCAAATCCCCGATGATCAACATCCACGGGGAGGCCTGAAAGGACATTGACCACTTCCAATAACCATGCAGTGTCCTGTCGGCCAAAGCAGTTATTGACGAAGAGATCCAGCACTGCCTCGATGTGCTAGCACAGCCTTTGGCTGCCTGAGGAAAAGGGTGTTCGAGGACAACATCAGATCTGACACCAAGCTCATGGTATACAGAGATGTGATGGTTCCTGCCCTCCTATAGGGCTCTGAACCATGGATTGTCTACAGCAGACATCTCACGACACTGGAGCAGTACCATCAACGCTGCCTGTACATGATCCTGCTAATCAGCTCAGAATAGAGACGCACCAACACCAACGTCCTCGACCAGGCCAAAAACTCCAGCCTTGAGGCACTGACCACCTTTGATTGGCTACAATGGGCTGGACTCGTTGTCCGCATGACCGACACAGATTCCCCAAGTAGGTGCTCTACTCCCAGGTTTGAAATGCAGGCAAGCCCCAGGCAGACAGAGGAACCACTTCAGTGATCCCCTCAAGGCCTCACCAGCGAAGTGTGACATTCCCACAGACACCTGGCAATCACTGGCACAAGACCATCCGAAGTAGAGAAGGAGCCACTGGAAAGGCTTCGAGCTCCTCAAGAATTGCTGTCGGGAAAAAGCGGAAGACGGGTGAAAACAGCGAAAGGAGCACGCAGCCACACCAACGCCCCACCCACCTCTTCCTGTGACCACCACCCACCCCATGTGTAACAGAGCCTGCGGTAACCGCATTGATCTGTACAGCCACCTATGGATTCACCCTGAGAGTGGAAGAGAATCATCCTTGTCTGTGAGGGATTGCCTGTGATGACGGACATTGCCAAGCCCCTGGACTAAGTTTGTGACTAACGGCACTGGCATCCCCTAAGTGATAACAGACACCCCTCCTCACTGAACCGAATATTAGACCTCCATGGACGATGGGTGCATGTAACTGGTGCTCTGAGATGTTTCTGCGTGGTGTCCAAAATGGAGGTTCCTCATAGCCAGCCATGAACTAAAGTCGCCAGGTCACTGCTCTGATTTCCAGATCGAGAATTCCCAGCACCAGCAACTCGCTGCTACCTTGCGAGAAACTTGGCTTAAGTAAAAGATGAGGTGAATGATTTCTAACATCATTCAGGCCCTTATAGATTCCAGCCTATATCTGAATGCACAGAGCATTCACAGACAAATTAACAGTACAAATAATTGTAAATGGGTATGATATGTTGGGGATTACTGAGTGATTCAAACTTTAGGAAGGAAAGGCAAGAAGGAAAACGACTAGGATGCCATTGTTAGTGAAAGACAAAATCAGTGCAAAATTCGACTTGTCAGAACTGGAGTTGCAGTTGAACTTGCAATTCTGATGGAGGGACCAAAAATGTTAACACTCTTTTTCTCTCCACAGTTGCTGCCAGACCTGCACTTTCAGCTACTCCCACCCTTACAGACAGTGAGCTCCAGGTTCCCACCTCCCTCTGGGTGAAAATGTTCCTCTTCATATCTCCTTAAACATGCTGCCCATTACCTTAAATCTGTGCTCTTGGTCATTGACCCCTCCATCAAGAGGGAAATTTTCTTCTGTCTACCCTATCTAGGCCCCTCATAATTTTAAATGTCTCAATCATGTCCCCTCTCAATCTCCTCTGCTCCAAGGAAAACAACCCCAGTTTGTCCAATCTTTCCTCACAACTAAAACTCTTCAGCCCAGGCAAAACCCTGGTAAATATCACTGTCTCCAGTGCTACCACACCTCTGCTAGAATGTAGATTCCAGAACTGCACGCAATACTCTAGCTGTGGCCTGACCAATGTTTTATAAAGTTCCATCAAAACCTCTCTACTCTTAAATTCTATGCCTTGGCTAGTATATACCACACACCTTCTTAACTATTTTATCCACCTGTCTTGTATGTTAAGGTATATGCACACCAAGGTCCCTCTGATCCCCAGTACTTCCCAGAATCCTATGGTTCATCATGTATTCCCATGCATTGTTTGTTCTGCCCAAGTGCATCACCTCACACTTATTTGGTTTGAATTCCATTTGCCACTGATCAGCCCATCTGACCAGCCCGTCTATATCCTCCTGTAATCTAAGGTTATCCTCCTCACTATTTATCACCCCATCAATTTTTATACCAACTGCGAACTTACTAATCAACCCTCCAACATTCAAGTATATAAATCTTATAGTTTATATAACAAAATCAGTGAGAGCCCAATATTGACTCCTATGGGATCCCACTGGATATAGACTTCCAGTCTGAAAAACACCCTCAATCATCATCCAGAGATAGTAAGAACTGCTGATGCTGGAGTCTGAGATAACACAGTGTGGAGCTGGAGGAACACAGCAGGCCAGGCAGCATCAGAAGAGTAGGAAAGCTGACGTTTTGGGTTGGGACCCTTCTTCAGAAGAAGTTTCATGGTGATTGGTAGGGACTTAAAGAGTGTAATGGAAGAGAGGGACCTTGGAGTTTAGGTGCACAATTCTCTGAAAGTGGAGTCACAGGTAGACAGAGCAGTGAAGAAGACTTTTGGCACACTGGCCTTCATCAGTCAGGGCATTGACTATAGAAGTTGGGAAGTTATGTTGTAGTTGTTCAGGACATTGGTGAGGCTGCACTTGGAGTATTGTGTTCAGTTTCGGTCACCATTCTACAGGAAGGATGTTATTAAACTGGAAAGAGTACAGAAGAAATTTACAAGGATGTTGCCATGACTCAAGGGACTGAGTTATAGGGAGAGGTTGGACAAGCTAGGACTTTTTTCTTTAGATCGTAGGAGACTGAGGGGGCATCTTAAAGAAGTGTTTAAGATCAGGAGGGGCATGGATAGGGTGAATGCACTCAGTCTTTTTCCCAGGGTTTGGGAATCAAGGACTAGAGGGCATCAGTTTAAGGTAAGAAGGTAAAGAATATATGGGAACCTGAGGGGCAACTTTTTTACACAGAGGGTGATACGCATATGGAATGTGCTGCCAGCGGAAGTGGTTGAGGTAGATAGATTAACAACATTTAAAATGCATTTGGACAAATACATGGATAGAGAAGGTTTAGAAGGATATGGGCCAAGTGCAGGGAACCATTTTGGTCTGCACGGACCAGTTTGGGTTGAAGGGCCTGTCTCCGTGCTTTAGGATCTATGACTCTATGTCTCATGATATTGTGAGCATGAGTCTGAAAGATATACTGGTATATTGAATATAGGACATAACACAACAATTGCACCTTTAATAATAGCTTCTACCATTTCTTTATGATCGTTGTTAAATTGGGGAGGTGATGGCCTAGTGGCATTATTGCTAGACTATTAATCTATAGCAGGAGCTAGTGTTCTGGAGATTGGGTTCCAATCCTGTCATGGCAGATGGTGGAATTTAAATTTCATAAAAATGTGGAATTAAAAGTTCACTGTAATCATTGTCGATTTTTCAGAAATCCTATCTGGGTTCACTTTAGGAGAGGAAACTGTAATTCGTTTCTGGTCTGGCCTACATGTGACTCCAGACCCACAGCTATGTGGTTAACTCTCAATTGCCCTCTGGGCATTTAGGGATGGGCAATGAGACCCATATCCTCTGAATGAATTTTTTAAAAACACTGGCCTGTAGTTTCCTGTTTCCTCTCTCTTTTTGAACAAGTGAGTTAAATTCACTAATTTCCATTCTAATGTAACATTCCCCAAATCAAGGGAATTTTGGCAAGTTAGTAAATGAAAAAGTAAAACATATAAAAAGTAAATCTGTGAGCTATGTACTAATTTACTAAATCTATTTCCCTTATGCCAATTTGCTCATGAATCAGGTAATAACCCAGTGATTATTACCTTTTTCCATTTGTCGCCATTCACTTCACACCAATCCCTCTGCTTAGATTTAAATGAGTATGCTGTATGGTAGTTACAGACTTCAATTAAACCAGTTACTTAATTCATTGCTGGTATGTTCATTTATAGAACATAGAACATAGAACAGTACAGGCCCTTTGGCCCACGATGTTGTGCCGAAATTTTACCCTAAACCTAAGGTCTATCTAACCTCCACCCCTACCTTATACTATCATCCATATGCCTATCTAATAGCCGCTTAAATGCCCCTAATGAGGCCAACTCCACTACCGTCTCCAGCATTGCGTTCCACGCCCCGACCACTCTCTGAGTAAAGAACCTACCTCTGACGTCTCCCCTTTATCTACCTCCACTACTTTAAAACTATGCCCCCTCATAATAGCTACCTCCACCCTAGGAAAAAGTCTCTGGCTATCCACTCTATCTATACCTCTGATCATTTTGTACACCTCTATCAAGTCACTTCTCATCCTTCGTCGTTCTAAAGAGAAAAGCCCCAGCTCTCTCAACCTTTCCTGGTAAGACCTTCCCTCCATTCCAGGCAAACATCCTGGTAAATCTCCTCTGCACCTTTTCCAACGCTTCCACATCTTTCCTGTAATGAGGCGACCAGAACTGGACATAATATCCCAGATGTGGTCGAACTAGGCTTTTGTATAGCTGGAGCATAACTTCACGGCTCTTGAACTCAATCCCTTTATTAATGAAAGCTTGCACATCATATGCCTTCTTAACAACTCTATCCACCTGGGTGGCAGCTTTCAGGGAACTGTGGACATGAACCCCAAGATCCCTCTGCTCCTCCACACTACCAAGAATCTTTCCGTTAACCCTATATTCTGCTTTCAAGTTTGTCCTTCCAAAATGAATCACCTCACACTTTTCAGGGTTAAGCTCCAAACTTACTTTATTCATGTTTTATTCATACTTTTATTTTACTTCTTGATTTCTGTAGTTCCAATCTCTTGCTCAATAGTTTCTTTGTCTATAGTTTCTGTCTGTCTCTGGATTTTAAACTCAACTTCCTTGATGTCCCAGGTAAATCGTTTCCTTTTCAACATGCAACTCAATAAAGACCAGATCGAAGACATCATGGTTCGGTTTGAAGTGGAGATGCTGAAGGGTTTGGACTTCCCCAACTCTTCCAGTCTGAAGATGTTGCCTACGCATGTACGGTCAACTCCTGATGGTTCAGGTATTGCAAAATGGAAATACTGTCCAGCTAACGATTTCAATTTATATAAAAACTTGTAGTCTGACTATTCCCTTCCCCACTGTGTTTTTTTGTATCATATACTTCACAAGGTCTGACTCAGACCTCAATGCTCTCAGATCCCATCCTGGCTGCATTGCAGGGTTGCACTGAGGTGTTTATTGTAGTGTCACTCAATGATTGTACATTGGATCTCTAGTGGGACATGCATGACGTGCAGGTCTGGGTCTGATGTTATTGTCACTAATGCTCTGAGAATTAGGAGTTCAAATCCCACCTCAGCAGCAGAGGGATTTAAATGAGTAATTTTGAATTATTTTTATGGAATGTGAGTGTTGTTAGAAAGGATAGAATTTGATATCATTCTCTAACTGCCTTTGAGAAAATTATTTTAAATTAGTCACAGAATGGCAACCATGAAGTCAAAAACTGCACCCCTCCTCCACCACACCACCCACTACCACCACCACCACTGCACCCCCCTCCCACCCCACCCACCCCGAGCCCCCACCCATCCCCAACTCCAATTCCTTTAAGTAAAGAAATCTTCTGTCCTTACCTGGTCTGGCCTCTATGTAAATCCAAAAGCCCAGCAATGTGGTTAACTCTTAATCACCATCTGAAATGGCTCAACAAGCCATATAGAAAAGATAAAATGGGACAGATCATCTGGCACTGGCCCAGGCACTAGAAACAATGACAAACACAGCCCTGTTAACTCTGCAAAGTCTTCCTTACTAACATCTAGGTGCTTTTGACAAAATTGAGAGAGCTGTACCACAGATGAGTCAAGCAACAGCATGACTTAGTCATACTTAGACAATTATCTTCCACATAGTGTCCTAGAACAATACTATCACCGTCCCAGAGATAGCAAGAACTGCAGATATTGGAGTCAGAGGTGACGCAGTGTGTAGCTGGAGGAACACAGCAGGCCAGGCAGCATCAGAGGAAGGAAAGTTGATGTTTCGGGTCAGGAGCTCCAGAACTTGCCACTCCCCTAGCCAAGCTGTTCCAGTACACTTACAACATAGGCATCTGCCCGATAATGTGGAATCTTGTTCACAAAATATAGGGTGCATCCAATTATACCAACTTCATTTGTCTACTCTTGGTTATCAACAAAGTGATGGAATCTGTCATTTACTGTGCTAACGAGCAGCAGTTACTCATCAAAAGGTTGCTCCACGACACAGTTTGGGTTCTGATAGGTCCAACCATCTCCTGAACTCATTACTTTCAGAATCAACTATTCAAACTCATCCTTAATTGAACTCTAATATTCAATCCTCCATAAGCTTGAGATCATTCAGAAATCCACAGCCCGTGTTGTAACCTGCAGCAAATCTTGTCTATCTCTCGCCCCTTGTGCTCCCTGCCTTACATTGACTACTAGACATTGGCCTAAGTCTCTAGATTCTCGTCCTTGTTTTAAATCTGCCTCTCCCATGGCCTTGGTTCTCCCCATCTCTGCATTTCCCTCCAGCCTACAACCCTCAATTTTGGCCTTGGAACATCCCAGATTTGAATCACTCCATCACTGGTGACAGTCCTTTAGTCACCCAGACACTAAGCTATGGCATTCTCTTCATTTCCTCTTCCTCTCCAACTCTCTTCCCTCCTTTAAGATGAATTAAAACCTAACCATTTGTTCAAGCTTTGGGCATCTGACCTAGTATCTCCTTATGAGGCTCTGTTTCATTCAATGTTGAAGTGCTTTGGCATGTTCATTTGGTAAAGGAGAGAAACAGACTGTTATAGTTGAGTATGGCATCAAGGAGCTCTGGGAAATTCAAAGTCAGTGGAAATCAGGGGAAATCTCTCCATGATTGCAGTCATACCGAACATAAAAGGAAACGGCTGTGGGCATTGAAGGTCAGTTATCTCAGCTCCAGGGCATCTCTATGCAGAGTTCCTCGGGGGTAGATATTTTCAAATCATCAATTTGGAGGATGTTATTACACACTTTTGGAGCGTGTGGAACATGAACATGGGCCTCCTGCCTCAGGGATAGGAACACTACCCCATATCACAAGAACCCCCTTGGGGTAGTGTCCTCGGCCCAACTATCTTCAGTTGCCTCATCAGTGACCTACTTCCACCACAGGGTCAGAAGTAGGAATGTTCACTGATGTTTGCACAAAACTCAACACCGTTAGCAACTCCTCAGATGGTGATACCAAGTTATGTGGGAGGGTGAACTGTGACGAGGATGCAGAGATCCTTCAGCATGATCTTGACAGGTTGGGTGAGTGGGCAAATCAATGGCAGGTGCAGTATAATTTGGATAAATGTGAGGTTATTCACTTTGGAAGCAAAAATAAGATGGCAGATTAGTATCTGAATGGCTGTAAATTGGGAGAGGGGAGTGTGCAGCGGGATCTGGGTGTCCTTGTGCACTAGCCGCTGAAAGTAAACATGCAGGTGCAGCAGGCAGTAAAGAAGGCAAAAGGTATGTTGGCCTTCATTACTTCATCGTGAGAGGTTTCGAGTACAGGAGCAGGGATGTGTTGTTGCAGTTGTACAGGGCCTTGGTGAGGCTACACCTGGAACATTGTGTGTAGTTTTGGTCTCCTTTTCTGAGGAAGGATACTCTTGCTCTCGAGGGAGTGCAGCGAAGGTTTACCAGGCTGATTCCAGGGATGGCGGGTCTGACATATGAGGAGAGATTGACTGGGTTGGGATTGTTTTCGCTGGAGTTCTGAAGAATGGGTGGGGGGATGTGGGATCTCAGCGAGACTGACAAAATTCTAACAGGACTGAACAGGGTTGGTGCAGGGAGGATGTTCCCAATTGGTGGTTATATACAGAACCAGGGGTCACAGTATGAGGATTCGGAATAGATGATTTAGGACGGAGATGAGGAGACATTTCTTCACTCTAAGAGCGGTGAGCCTGTGGAATTCATTACCACAGGAAGTAGTTGATGCCAAACATTGAATGTATTCAAGAGGCAACTAGATATACCACTTGGAGTGAATGTGATCAAAGGTTGTGGGGAGAAAGCAGAATTAGGCTATGGAGTTGGACAATCAGCCATGATCCTGAAGAATGGCGGAGCAGGCTCGAAGGGCCGAATAGCCTCCTCCTGTTCCTCTCTTCTTTGTTTCTATGACAGCAGTTCATGTCAAAATGGAGCAAAGTCTGGACAATATCCAAGGTTGAATTGGTAAATAGCAAATAACATTTGCACCACAGAAGTGCCAGGCAATGAGCATCTCCAACAAGAGAAAGAATATTTCCATCTTCTCCAGATATTTAATGGCTTTACCATCACTGAATACGCCACTATCAATGTCTTGGGAATTACCTTGACCTCCTTCAGCCAACTGGCACCCTACCCCACTAACATCCTGACACCCTACCCAAACCTCTTTCCCCTTACCATTTGGCACCCTACCCCTCAGTTTCCTTTTCTCACTGACTAGCAAAATGTCTCTATGATCTTTAACTCCTAAAATATAGCAGCAAGAGTCATAAAAATGGGTATTTTGGTCTGCAACATCACTCCAGCGCTGGCTATCCAGATTTCTCTTGCTTTTCTCCATTGGACATATCCAAGATAAGCCTGACTTGGAATCTTCACCTGAAATATTGCCAACAGGTAAATGGGTAACCTGAAAGGGGATTATTATTGGCCAAATCTGCTGTGATGATAATTAGATTGCTGCTTTCGTCCCGAATGGACTGTACTCTTTCTTTGGTTATTTTCTCACCCCTAATATACTTATAAAATTCCTTTGGATTTTACTCGATGTTACCTGCCAATATTTTCTCATGCCACTCTTTTCACTTTCCTGATTTCTTATTTAAGTAATCCCTTGTACTTTCTATCCTCCTCGAGGGCAGCCACTATTAAAACTTCAGCCCATTGAATCTGCCTTGCCATTCAACAAAGTCATGGATGATCCAGTGATCCTCAACTCCAGTTTCTTGGCCTTTCCCTATAACCCTTGACTCCCTTACTAATTAAAAAACAGCCTATCTTAGCCTTGAACTAGTAAATGTAACACACTTGGATTGGTTTAACAAGATACCACATGTCAGAGTACTTAATAAGAGAAGTGCCTGTGGTTCTGGGGGCAATGTGGAAAGGGTTGGCTAACTAATAGAAGATAAAGAGTTGGGATAAAGTGAGGGGAAGTTTTCAGAATGGCATCTTGTAACTAGTGGAGTGCCACTGGGATCAATGATGGGCCACAACTTTTTCCATTATATATGAGGATAATGGAAGTGAATGCACTATTGAGGATGACCCAGAAATAGGTGGGAATGCAAGTGGTAAAAATGACACAAAGAGTCTGCAGAGGGATATAGGCAGGTTAAGTGAATGGGAAAATTGGCAGTTGGAATATAATGTGGAAATATGAATGGTTATGTACTTTGGCAGACAGAATAAGTATGAGTTATTTAAATGGAGAAAGACTGCAGAAAGTGACAGAACAAAGGGATTTGGGATTTGTGTATGGATGAAAGAAAAAGCTAGCATACAAGTTCAGCAGGTAATAGGAAACCTTCAGTTGGCCTTAATTTCACAGGAAATGGAGTACAAAATTGGGAATGTCTTGCTAAAAAATAAATAAGGCACTGTTGATCCACACACGAACACTGTGAACAGTTTTAGTCCCCTTTTCTAAGAAAAAGATATTCTGGCATTGGACGCAGTCCACAGATGGTTCACTTGGTTGATTCTGGGTATGGACGGATTTTCTTATGAAGAGCGGTTGAGCATATTTGTCTTGTATTCATTGGAGTTTAGAAGGATGAAATATTATTGAAATATATAAGATTCCTAGGGATGGTTGCTCAAAGGATGTTTTCTCTTTTGGGACAGTCTGGAACCAGACAGCATAGTCTCAAAGTAAGGAGTTGCTCATTTAAGACAGAGATAGAACATAGAATATAGAACAGTACAGCACAGTACAGGCCTTTCGATCCACGATGTTGTGTCGACCTATTATCCTACTAAGATCAATCAACCC